CTGAGACCACTGGAGCAGCCGACCATGGACTGAACCCTCTGAGACCACTGGAGCAGCCCACCATGGACTGAACCCTCTGAGACCATTGGAGCAGCTTATCATGGACTGAACCCTCTGAGACCATTGGAGCAGCCAACCATGAAACCTGAAACTGAATGAAATTAAACCTGTTCTCCTTTAAGTTGTGAGTGTTGAATATTTTGTCTAGTGACAAGAAAGCATCTAGACAGGAAGCTATGAGGAGTACAAAGGACCTCTGTTGTCAGCCAGTGTGCTTGATGTTTCTCATGCTGTACTGCCTGTCTCAGTGTGGTACCAGGAGATCTTGAAGGCAGAGAAGGTCCTGCTGGGAACAGAGGTACAAGGAAGCCATCGGAAATCTCTTATTCTGGGCCAGAGCATTGTGTTCACACTAACCTCAGGAGAGCATTTCCATAGGGTACTGACTTAGGGAAGGGTCTAGTGTCACCACTTATATGAGTCACTCCCATTGGTGGGACAAACTACCTGAAACCCACTCTGAAAGAGGAGAGGCTGATTTTGACTCATGGTCTCACAGGGTTCAGTCCATGATCGGCTGCTCCAGTGGTCTCAGGGGGCTCAGTCCATGGTCAGCTGCTCCAATGGTCTCAGAGGGTTCAGTCCATGGTCGGCTGCTCCTGGCTTCTGCCAGGCAGAAGTTTCTTCCCGCTGTGGCACCAACCGACCCCTGCCCTTCCGACCAACCTTCTGCTTCAACTGGGGCCTCTCTGTGACCCAGCACCATCTCTCTAACTGAAAATCGATGTTTGTTTTCCTCTCAGGTTCCCTCCATTTTTCGATGACAATCCATTTGGCATCTATCAAAAAATCCTTGCAGGCAGAATCGATTTCCCCAGACATTTGGATTTCAGCGCAAAGTGAGTCCGCTGTTTCCCCGTCCTCAGTGTGTTTATTTTCGAAGAGTCTAGGCTGTGTCTGAACCCTGTCGGGGTCTCCTCCGTCCACCGGAACAGAGAAGGTTTTAATGATGCCCTGTTAGCAACATTTGACCTGGGGTGACCCTCTGTCTGCCTGCCTTCCTTTCGAGATAAAGAGCATTGGAAATTAGCCACTGAAGGGTTCCTCGGGGATTTGGTGAGAGAGCACCCTGGAGATTTGTTTGCTTCTGCTCAGTGGTTTTTGTGCTTGGCAGAACTGTGGATGTCTTTAGCAGAGTTTATCTTTGACTTTTCCTAAAGTTATGCTCATCCAGAAAGAACTCTTGAAGCCAGATATCCAGAGCCCTGGGCACTTTGCTCCAAGAATGTTTGCATGTGCTGAATTTTAATAACACTGAATGTGCATGTCCTTAAAGTTGGGGCGGGAGGGTAGAAAAACATAACTTTTTTTGTGGTATATACGCTGTTTTGATTGTCTAGATGATCCCTGTTGTCCTCTTTTGGGCATTTTTTTTTTCTTAAACCATGATGAGCTTTGATGTCTACTTATTTCGCTGTGTTTCTTCAATGAGTGGATGAGTTTGCCGATACCTCCTGACCAGGAAAAAGCTCAGGGCATCGAATGGAGAAATGAACTGTTTATTTTCTTGGTTATTATGTAAAAAAAGAATTGGGCGTGATGGCACATGCCTGTCATCCCAGCACTAGGGAGGCTGAGGCAGGAAGATCATTGCAAGTTTGAGGTCAGCTCGGGCTGCAGAGTGAGTTCAAGGCCGGCCTGAACTACACAGTGAGACCCTGTCTCCAAAATAAGAAAATGGGAAGAGAAGGAAATTGGGAAAGAACTCTAGGAAGAAACATAGACGATTCCGTGAATCTTTGTCAACACCCAGACCCCACCCTAGCTGGGTAATATTGTTTCCCACAAACCAAAAAGAACTTTTAACGACTCCAGGTACACATTTATCCACACCGTGGCAGTCTGTTTTCCCTATTTTAAAAAATATTTGTGAGTCCCTGTTTGCAGGACACAGTGTTACGTTCCTTGTGAGCTGTTGGTGCAGGGACATAGCAACCCTAGTTCTGTTTTCATGCCTTCCACTCTCCCTCCGTGTCCTGGTCCCCACCTCATATGAGTTAGATCTACCTCCATGCTTCCTGTTGTCTGTTATTCTGTTCTTTATTTATAATTGGGGTTTCTCATGTAAGAAAAACGATGTGATATTGAAGCTTGTGAGTCTGATTTATTTCATGTAGCATTATGGTCTCAGTGCATCCATTTTCCTACATGTGCCTCAAACGTATCCTTGTTCACGGCAGACTAGTATTCCCTTGTGCATAAGTACCGTTTCCTTGACCAAAATTTAATCAGAGCTCTTCCTCTGAACTCTGTCTGTGTGCTCAGACAACCTGGCCTCACGTGAATGATGTACAGGGGGACGAAGACAGGAAGAAATAAGTTGCTAGGGGTGGAACTCAGTCGTAGAGCATTTGCCTAGCATAGGTCAGGCTCTGGGTTCCAACCCAGCATCGAATCACAAAAAAGAGAAAGAAGGAAAGGAGGAAGGGAAGAAGTGGGCAGAAGGATGGAAGGGGATGGAGGGGGCTGTGGGCCAGATGCGCATGCATCCTCCATGCCTGAGGCGCCTCCTTCCCATTTATCTCCCCCAGAGACCTCATCAAGAAGCTGCTGGTTGTGGACCGGACGAGGCGGCTGGGGAACATGAAGGTGGGTGTGTGGGGCGTGGGGCCGCCTCAGGCAGATGCTGCCCTGTGCACCCCACTGTCTGCAGCTGCAGCCTGGGCTCGGGGTTTCTCCCTCTTGCCTGCTAACTCGCCAGGGGCACGTGGTGCTTTTTAAACTTACCATTTACATTATCTGATTGAATGATTTCTGAGACAGAGTCTCGCTGTGTGGTCCGGATGGCTTTGGATTCACGATGTAGCCCCGGCTAGACTCGAACTCACAGTGGTCCTCCTGCCTCAGTTTCCCCTGAGTGCTGGGATGACAGGCACGCACCACCAAGGCCAACTGTCGTTATTTATATTTTTAAAAAAAGCCTTTTTGGGGTCGAATTCAAAAACTAAGAACCAGTTAGTTCACTTAAAGTAATTAATGCATAAGTACCTCATGATGTTTCTTTTCTTCTGGGTTTTTTTTTTATCGTATTGGGAATTGAACCCAGGGCCTTTGCACTGAGCTACATCCCTGGCCATTTTTACTTTTTATTTTTGAGACAGGGTCTCACTAAGTCATTGAGTTGGCCTTGCTGGCCTTGAACTTGAGGCCCTTCTCCCTCAGCCTCCCACGGTGCTGAGAGTACAGGTTTATGCTACCACTCCCACCTTACTGGCTTTTCACGTAGGCACAATATGTAGACCCCTCACCATGGTCAATTCTAAGTGATTTTCAACACCTCAAGAAAATAAATCCAGTGCCCGCTGTCTGTCTGCTGTGTTTTCCTCTAATCCCCCTTCCCTAAGAAACTACTGTCTACTTACTGTCTCTGTAGATCTTGTTATTCTCACTTTCCTGTAAATGGAGTCATATAAACATGGCTTTTCTGTCTGGCTTCCTCAGCTTAGAGTGCTTTCTTGGTTCACTCTTGTCTGATATTGCACTCCTTTTGATGACTGAATACTATTCCACAGTGTGTTTTAATCGCATTGCCTTTACCCAGTCATCCGTCGTGGACATTTATTTCCCTCTTGTAGATGTGCTAGATATCATCTTTATTAGAGTAAAAGCCACGAATCCCCTCAAAATCCTCCCCAGCTGTGCACACCCTCCTCCCACCGTCCTGGCTGCTGCCTTCCACACGCAATGCATGGCTCGAGCGCGGGCGCGGCCTCCTGTCCACCTCTCCTGTGCGCTCACCTGCATCTCTCTCTGTTTGAAGAACGGGGCCGAAGACGTCAAGAGACACCGCTGGTTCCGGGCCGTGGACTGGGACTCCGTGCCCCAGAGGAAGCTGAAGGTCGGTCCCACCTCACGGCGGCGGTGCCGGGGTCTCCGGTCGCCTGTCGTCCCTGCTCTCTGGCAGGGTGAGGCGGGAGGGCGGGCAGTTTCAGCTCAGCCTGGGCAACCGAGCAACCTGGCGACTTCCATGTCTCCAGAAAGACAAAGGAGGCTGGGAAGGCCGCTCAGTGTGAAGGCCGCGGGTTTGATCCCCAGTCCTTAACCCTCCTAAAAACACCCTTTTGGGATAGATGAGATACTAGGTGGCTATTTCCCAAGCCAAAACCGCATGGAAAGTTATTCCTGGCCCACTTTGGCTTTTTGCTTCCAAACCACCTGTCGGCCATCGCTTTTATTAGGTTCTTCCCTGTCTTCTTCCGGTTCCTTTACACTAATAAAACTCCGTGTCTGTCATTTTCCCCCGCCCGCAGCAGACACCAAAGAGTCCTAGCCTTGCTTTTTGACAGCTCTAATCTGGACACTTTTATCCCTTCCTGTAACCTTTTCCCTTTTCATTTTATTTTATTTCATTTTCTTTTTTGTGGCCCTGGGCCTTTACGCTGAGCTACATCCCTGGCCCTCAAGTTTTAAATTTTGAGACGGGGTCTTACTGAGTGGCCCAGGCAGGGCTGGAGCTGGCGATCCTCCTGCCTCGGCCTCCCGAAGAGCTCGTTGTTCTCCAAGAGCATCCTGCGCCATCACGGGACTGAATGTCCGGGCCTAATCGTGCCTCAGTTGATGGTTGAAATAACTGAGTTCTTGGGCCATGTCTTCCCACAGCAAGTACCTGTGGCTCATTTCATGGAGACGAAGAGAAATTTCCACACTTCAGATCCTGGGCCCGAACGATAAACGCTCCTGAAATCTGACTGGCTTTGAAACCTATTTCTCCATAGAGACTGTGTTTACGTCCTCTAGGGAAAGAGTTGCGAATCCTCTCTTCTCCCCAGTCCCAAAAAAGGGAGCTGTGCACTTCCACCCTTTTGCCAAACTGGTGGTCAAAATGAAGTGACTTGATAAAATTTTACTCGTTTAATTTGTCCCTGTACTGAAGATTCCATCTGGGGCCTTTGACCTGAGCCCCATCCTTAGCCTTTTATTTTATTTTATTTTTAAAATTTTGAGACAGGCTAGGCTCGAACTTGAGTTCCTCCTGCTCAGCCTCCCAGAGCCTCCCATAGATGCCAGGTCTGCTCTACTATGCCCAGCCACGTTCTGGTCTTACTTGGGGGCCCTAGCATCACCTCATAATCCTTGTCCTGAATTAAAGAGGGCTAAGGGGAGAAATGGCTTCCCTCACACTCAAGAGAAAGCTCTCAATAAAGCATAAGACTTTTGTGGGAGTTTAGAAAATTTAGTTGGGATCTGTGTGCTTCCCAGAATCTTTGGGTTGTATGGGGCTTGAACCGTGATCGATCCAGAAATCAGCAAACTATAAACTGCAGTCAAAACCTGGCCCTTTGCTTTTGTTGATAAATAAAGTTTTATTGACACAGCCACATCCATTTCTATGGGAGCATCCGTGCTCCAAGGGCTGATTTCAGTAGTTGCAGCAGAAGTCCCAGTGCCTGAAACACTGAAAATATTGGTACTAGGGATTGAACTCGGAACCTTGCGCTCGCGGGGCAGGCACTGGAACCACTGAGCTAAATCCCCAGCCAAAACTGAAAATATTGACACACTGGCTGTAGTTGGGAAATGCCTCTACCTCACGGGTCCCTTTAGTAATGTTGGATTAGACTGATCTTTCATTAATGCTGGCTAATTATATCACAGTCACCTGAGACAAAAGGCCTGACATCCTCGGCTTAAAGGACAAAAGATTTAAATTGGCTCATGGTTTCAGAGGGTTCAGTCCATGGTCAGCTGCCTCAGTGGTCTCAGAGGGCTCAGTCCATGGTTGGCTGCTCCAATGGTCTCAGGGGGTTCAGTCCATGGTCAGCTGCTCAGTGGTCTCAGGGGGTTCAGTCCATGGTCAGCTGCTCAATGGTCTCAGAGGGTTCAGTCCACGGTCAGCTGCCTCAGTGGTCTCAGAGGGCTCAGTCCATGGTCAGCTGCTCAATGGTCTCAGAGGGTTCAGTCCA